CCTGCCAAAATGCTTATAAGAACACTCAATTCGTTGGTTGGATAGAGCGTAAAAAACTGTATTTAGAGCACTGCTTTTTGAAGTAAAAAAACAATTACTCTTGGCTAGAAATGAATTATAAGGAATTTTCGTGATGGAATCACCTTCACCAATGGATTACATTTACAAACGTAAATAAATTTCTGAAGAAACGCAGAATGATAGATCCCTTATCATCATTGTACAGAGCTTTGAAAGCATTATTAATTGATGTGAGAGCTTTCGAAAAGGACATTTTTATATATATGAAAAACTCGAAAATAAGAAATCATAATAAATATTGATTTTTATCTTTTGCACGACACATCGCTTTCCTAGTGCTTTTTCTTCCAAGAATTAGCATAAGTATGTAAAGAAATATGCATTTCTATATGTTGTCGGCATCGTTCTACACAATGGTCATATTGGTTTTGGCAGATTGAGTTGGTCAACTTCGCCCACCAAGGTATACCGTTACGTGGACAGGCCGATAATCAACTTTAGGTTTGTGATGTTCTATCTTTGGTTATCTCATAGTATTACGTTATTTGGAATAATTCCCTAGATGTTGCTGCATTTTTTCCCGGCATCCGTTTTATGTTTCGTTCTCTGTGTATTCCCATGGAGAATTCTATATGTTCCTATGTTTGTACTATGTTTTCTAGGTCTTTTTAATCACTTTCACTTTGTTTTGATGATATCGATCTCTTTTTTTTTTCACGTATTTGATTGACACTTCAACCTATAAATACACTCGTTTCAGTGTAAGGAAAGTATACTATAACCAACACGATTTTCTACATCGTATAACAAAATATCAAACACACTCACTCTCGAAGAGCAATTCCGTGGACTTGTTCTTTCTATGAAGGAAATGAATATCATGTGGATGGCAGCCGATATTGCTGATGAAATACAATCTTATGAAAATCCACCTTCATTACGTCGTGATGCATTAAGGAGAGAAATAAGTCGAATATTACAACGAGCAAGAATCAAGGATAGATCAAGATGTGATGCACCACTAACTGTTCGAACAGAACAATTGAAGAAAGCAATAAAACGGTTAATTTACTTAAAAAACGGACAAAGTGAAAGAAAAGTGATATTTGAATTACAACGAAATAACATTGAAGGTAAAAGAACATCAGTGCAAAGAACAATTAAGAAATTAAATTTGAAACCATTCAAATTGAAAAAAGCACAAAAGTTAACAACATCAAACAAACAACAACATGTTAGTTGTGCAAAATAATTAATACGAAAATTTGGTGCAAGAAAAACTGGTCATAAATGACAATGAGACAAAATTGTTAATACTGATTTTTCTGGAATATTTACAATTGAAGGTTTTCACAATAGCAAAAATGATGTAATTTATGCTGAAGATCCATCTGAAATTCCTGTTGATTTAAGAGAAGCATCAATAGTAAAATATCCAACTGGTGTTATGTTTTGGAATGCGATTACCACGAAAGGCTTGATACCTCAAGATGGTCCTATCAATTTTACTCAATGGTCACGAGCTCAATGTCCACTTGATAAACGTAAAAGAATGTACATGACTAGTGATTTATATGCTAAATTTTTACGTGAAGAAGCTATTCCTATAATTAATGAAGTGGTGGAAAATCTGAACGTCATATTCCAAGATGATCAAGATTCAAAACATCGAACGAAAATAGCTATGGATGCTGTAAATGATTTCTTTGAAGAAAGAATAGAACCAAATGATGGGGATGCTAAATTTGCAGATGTGTGACCCATTGAAAACATTTGGGGGATTATGAAGGAAAAAACAAAGAGGAAAAACATTGGAAAATATTGATCCGTTAGTTGATTTTATT